CTCCAGATGTGGTACCCAAATATTTAGGTGAACCTTGATTAACATTACCTGCAATCACTAATTTACCTTGACCTGTTATGTCACAGTTTGAAGTAGGACCAGGATTGTTTTCTATATCACCACTTAGCAACAGAATCATTCTCATATAGTACAAATAAAGTTGCATAATCCATACAGGAAAAAATCTTTTTATTACAAACTTTAGTTTGTATACAATGACAAATTCAGAAGACCAAATACAAAGTTCTATATGCATGATTTCTCAGTCAGAAAGTCTTCTCTGTAATATAATATAATATTGGATTTATATGGTACTAATAGTATGGTAAAGATATGGTATATAATGGTATAATGTATACTGGTTCAATCTGGAGTACTTTGGTAAGCAGTGTATGTGACAGTACGTTAACAACTGACACCTGCAAGCCTCTCTAAAGCAGTTGGTGAGAGGAGTACAGTACTAAATAAAGAAAAAATTGAAAGACAAAAAAATCTTCTTTTAAACACAGATCCTGTAAAAAAGCAAAAAAAAGTACATTTAAACAAATAGGTTCAAACAAGTCACATTGGACGTAGATGGCGCTGTGACAGCAACAAGACGGACTTAAAATATTAAAGATGGCGTCCGTGTTCACGAAAAGCACTGAAGGTAGTCACGATATTAACGTACACTAATTCAGGTCATTTAAAAATTGCAGTTAGATAAACACCCAGTTACATCGTCAAAATAGTAAAATTTTAAACCATTCAGTTGTTCTGACCGTGTCATATATATTGACAGTGCACTTCGAATAGTGTAGCCAGTCTTCGGGATGCGATGACGTGACGATACAAACCTCCAAGATCTTTCCAATATGCTACGAAATTTCATTGTTCCATCACAGTGATTTTTTTTCAAATACAGCATTTGCTGATGCCAATTTCTACAAATCTGCCTGCTTTGCACATCCCTAAAATCACCCTGTCGACCGTTGCCGACTAACATTCAGAACATAGACTGTGACATGGCGAGACATCGTTAAAATGAGAATGTTGACATACATTCCACTCAAAATAAAAAAAATGCGCCCATCAGACAAAAAAAATCGATCACAGGAAACTTATTATTTTTGAAAATAATTAACTTGTTAAAAGATAGATACCGGAATACCAGTAATGTAGACAGTGTGGGAGAATCCCACCAAACGACTCCTGGGACCGCCCGGGCTTCTCCCGGGAACGTCCGGTCCACAAAAACGGTTAAAATACACGCCTTGTGGTTAGAAGCGTGCATAATTCACATGGCACACAGCAAAAATAGAATATATTTTAGTGTTATTGCTCAATATTGTAATTTCGATCGTTGACACAAATGACGGCCATCGCAGTGCAGTGATCACCGAACAAATTACCTCCATAGATCGGCAAAGTCCCAAACATTCATATATCATAGTACTTACAAATATATCATGTACTTACCAAATAATTTATTGATCTTCAAACTATTCAGTATTAGCGCGAAGTCGCAGAGAGCAGCCATAAAAAAATTGTTCTACATGAGGTTGTTTACCATTTACCTCATTGAAGCGAATTCACTCCCATGATGCAACAGTAGAACACATTCCCTGAACCCGAAGATCATGCCCCGTTTAGCATGATCAAGGTACGTGGTAAAAATACTGATATCTTTATTGCAATCATAATCAAATCAGGATATCAAACAAAATACGAATAAAGGTAACATTCTGACAAACCAACATAATACTACTACTTTATTGACATCAATTTAACAACATAAAAACAACTTTGTATTAGATGCATGTAATTTATAGTCCATCTTAATCAGAATCCGCACAATTTCGGGTTTAAAATAGCTGCCAAACGCTCAAAATTGATCTAATCTCAAAACAACTTCACGTGCATATGTATACCTTCATGTATGTGTACCAAATTTGAATGGAATCCATCAAAGTGTGTCTGAAATATGACGATGCACGCACGCACGCACACACGCACGCACATAACCAAAAACACTACTTCCCGTCCGAACGGGAACTAAAAACGTCAACAAATCCACAACAAATGTTTTTAATCCAAATCGGGAGACACGCACAGCCGTGTAGATTATTAGACGGCGTACACTAACTGTGCGCTATCGAAATGAACCTACAGTATCGAATTGTGAGGTGTTGTAAAGTTGAGCTGATCAGTGTCACATTTTTTTTACTTTCATGGTTACATCTTCTACTCACAGTCCCACAACACCTGAGGGACTGTGTTCTACTCTAGTTAATCAAATTACCGGCATTGCTGACTTGACCCAATGACCCTAATTTAAATATCTGATTGTTTCTCTCCTCCAGTTCGCTTTCCTCCACCTGTCAACAAATAGTTGCGGACCAGTTGCTATCACGTGATTGCGAGTTCGACCAATCAATGAACATGCTAGTAAACAAGATAAGCCAATCACAGCAAACGAGGGTGTATTCAAAAGAGAATTCTCCGAGTTCTTCTTCAGTAGCTTCCATTCACTTGTGAAAGAGACGTGTTCCCTGAATTGCATACTGCTAGCGTAAAATCTTTGCAAACGTTGATTAACAAGTTTTTGTTCGGATATTCTCTTGACTGTACCACCTTTTTAAGAATAATGGCTTACCGCACTAGAAGCAACGCCGTAAGTACACACTTTGTCTCAACTCCCCGTTCAGTTGGTCCAATGCTCAGCTCAAACTTCATTTGACCATGGAGGTAAAGACCATAATTTGATTAATTGTTACTTTCATTAGCAATGGCGGCGTACTTGTTTTTACTTCAATTTGTTACCTTTGCTGGTAATGACGTGTTGCGACTGGACGAGTTTGCCGTTGGAGTGTGTATATATTCATAAAATATTTGTTTAAAAACCGGAAGTACTTTATAATTAGTACTTGCTTGATAAATTTCAAAAATGTTCCATGATGTTACTACTAGTATTTGTTTTTAACAACGGAAAGTGACCTTGCGTGTTTCCCCCTAAACTGCAAGGTGCTAAGTTTACTTAAACATAACTAATGTTGTTGTATGGCGTCCAATTTCTATAAGTTAGGTGGATTTCCCGCTTTAGTTCTAGAATAATTCGAACACTGTTAAAGAACGGACATAAACTTTGCGTTCTTTGTTTACTTTTCCAGACCGCACTCCAGAGCAGACTTCCTAGCAGGGAAAATGACCTTGTTGTACAGAAATCCAAAAGTTTCTCCAACGTTGGAACCGGAAGATCAGCACTAGGAGCTATTGGTAATGTAATCAACAAAGAAAATGTAACCAGAGGAAAGAAGGTAGGATTTGTAATGCTAGTTGTTTGTGGGCTTTAATAAATGCATGTTATTCGTTCCCCTCTCGGAAATAAACTCTTAATTGTTATCAGAGTTTGCATTTATTTTTTACTAAATTGACACCTCAGTAATGCGAATAAATGCTGCTATACTACAAATGGCTTTCACAGAAATTATTGTGTTTTTTTTAATACTTTCAGCTTGCAAGATCAACATCTCTAAAACCAGCATCTGCATTAGAACCAGTAGTAGAGAATGTGTCAAAAGAAAATATACCAACTAAGAAAGATGTACAGGTTAGTGAATCCTATCCAATCCTACCCTACACTAAAAGTGTGAAAGAAAATTATTGTTGTCATAGCACATGCCATAAAAATCAAAGTTGCTAATTCAAGAAAATTGTTCAATGGCCCTTCTAATTTCTTCAATTTACTCTTCCTTATAGAAAAGATCACCCAGTCCACCTATCATGGAAGTGATTAAGCAAGCTTTCTCAGAACAACAACTAGCAAATGTGGAAGACATAGACAAAGATGATCATGAGAACCCACAGCTTGTTAGTGAATATGTTAATGACATTTACAAATATATGCTTCACCTAGAGGTAAGCATTTGTTCTTGGTTTTTTTTCCCTAGTTAATGGTCTTGAACACCAACATTGATAAATTTATGCTTCTTTAAGAAGAGAAATGATTTATTGGCCTTGTTGTGCTTCTATAATCAAACACTTTATTTTATTGCATCGATTTGTTCATGGCATGAATGTTTATGTGAACTAAAATATATTGAACCAAACTGTTTTATACTTGCAGCAAGAATTTAAAGTTCGTGGTGATTACATGGAAGATCAAGAGATCAATGCACGTATGCGCTCAATTCTCATTGATTGGCTAGTCCAAGTTCATTTGAGATTTCATCTCTTGCAAGAAACTCTCTTCCTCACTGTATCCATATTAGACAGATTTTTGCAGGTAAAACATTGGCCATTTAACTTCTTGATGCCATTGCCAAACGTGCATATCTGGCTAGTTTCATTAAAAAAACTAATTACTAAATTTTATTTACTGTATAATTTGAATTGTTTTTAATTCTTTCCCTTCATCTCTGCTTTGTTATATTGTCTGTCCCTGCAGATCCAACAAGTGTCTCGAAGCAAATTACAACTTGTTGGAGTAACAGCAATGTTCATAGCTTCAAAATATGAAGAAATGTACGCACCAGAGATTGGAGACTTTGTCTACATCACAGATAATGCTTACACAAAAAGCCAGATAAGAGCCATGGAATGCATGATGTTGAAAACTATAGACTACAGCCTTGGCAAACCACTTTGTTTACATTTTCTTAGAAGAAATTCCAAAGCTGGTGGTGTAAGTATTTGTCAACAATTTATGTCAAACTTCATAAATGGTGAGCAATTATAGTATTTGAAGCTTCTTACCACAAGAACGTCTTTGTTTCTCCAACATAATTTGTTAATTAATGCATCACAAATTGTAAATATTTAACTTTAATGAATAATTTGATATTTCAGGTTGATGCTCAGAAACACACTTTAGCCAAATACCTAATGGAATTGACTCTACAAGAGTATGGCTTTGTGCAATACAATCCTTCAGAAATAGCAGCTGCTGCTTTGTGTCTATCCATGAAACTTCTAGATGAATCTTCAACATGGGTATGTTTCTTTAAAATTGCTTATTTTCTTTGGTCCTCCCCTTTAATTGTAAGGCAAAACTGTAATTAAAACTCCACTTTAGTTGCAAATGAATTTCCTTCAGAAATGTACTTGATAAGATTCTACCTTCCATTCACAGTAATCCATTGCTAACTGCTTATTCTGTGGTACTATCTTAACATTCATGTTTTGTTTTTTTCAGACGGACACTCTTTATTATTATAGTACATACTCAGAGGAAAAAGTGTTGCCTATCATTAAGAAAATGTGCAAGCAATTGGTGAAGTCAGAAAATTCCAAATTACAGGCAAGTTTTATTAGTCCCAACCCAAGAATACTCTATACAATATATAAATTCTGTAATGATTATTCAACATTACCAAATATTAACCCTTTCTGTGACAAAACAGGATTTCCAGTGCAATAATTATGTCCTATTACTGCAAAAAAAAATGATTAACTATATTCCATTTCAATTTTTAATAAATTCAAATGGGTTTTGTATAATTAACATTTTTCTCTTAAAAATGAGATCAATTACTTATTCCTACATTAAGAATAATTTAATGCCTTGTGCACATCTCTCCAAATCATGCTACTGTAAAATTACTAATCTTCACTGGATTAAAATTTCACTGATTTACAGTTTCAGGCATATTCAGTAAGTTTTAATTTAGCGCATTTTCCAGTCAGCGAAATAAGAAAATTAAAACCCAGTGAATAATTAATCGTTTTACAGTATACATTTAGTTTAAACATAAAACCTGTTATTTGTATAACCAAGTTCTTTCTCTTTTAACAGGCTGTGAGAAATAAATACAACAGCAGTAAATTTATGAAGATTAGCTGTATATCTGAACTAAAATCATCAATAGTAACGGAATTTGCAGATCAAGCATCATAGTGGGGTAATTTATAATCATATTCACAGCTGTTTGGCACACTGCTTCTTTACAATATTTGTTTTAATTCGGTCTTTAAAGCTGTATACATGATTTTCTTGACTTGTGGTCATATTATTGTTACAAAAGTACTGAATCAAGATACATAATTCTTTTTACTTGGTGTAACTAAGGCCTTTATAAGGTAAAGTGCATATCATGTAACTAAATTTTTCAATAGTAGAATAATAAAAGTGATAATGTAAACTAGTTCTATGCTCGTTTCTCTTGAAATAAGAGTTTGTTACTCAAAACCTTGTACAATTATTAATTTCACTACTGAAAATGCATACCAAGTCTTGCAGTTGCCTTGTGCTGCAATATTTGTAAATACATAGCTTTGTCCAAATTCATTTTACATTTATAACTATTTTACAATCAATGTACATTTTAAATTTTTTATGTGAATGTGTTCTGTAATTTTCATTTGTTGTAGTGGACTTTTTAGAAATAAACTTTTTAATTTATATATTTGTTCAATAATTAGCTTGTCTAGTGAATTAACATTCTGCCTATGCCAGCAGGTCGATTATTTTAAACATAAATCCACATTCCTAATTAATCAAATTTCCAAAATAATTACTTGCTATCTTACAACTTCTCTAATTTTGCTATAGATCATTGAATATAAATTCAGTCTATTTGTACTTCCCTTGTCTAATACAATATGTATTCACAAACTACTAGCTAAATTTGTATTGGTCACTTCACTGCTTGACTAAAAAATTGGTCCTTGCAAATAGAAAAATAATTGAATTCTGGTCTATTCTAAAAATCTTTTTTGTTTAACAATTTATGATTAATTCAGTGAATTTCAACTAGTCAAATCAGTGAAATGAATTCCACACAAAACGACCACCATCTTTACAGCCAAGTGGTGTCTTGTTAATTTACAACTGTTTCGGAGTAGTAACTTGCTGATCCTACAAAAAGTTGGTTTTTCTACAAAAGAAAATAGTTTTAAATCCTTTTAGCATGATCTTGAAAATTACCATGAATTTCACTCATCCTAAAAAGGCTAAATTTGCATTCTTTTTTTGTAAAATGAAAGTCCTGACTTTGCCATTCTGATCATACAACACTGTATTGTGATCACATAACACTAAAAGCCAATGTAGCATGCCTCCTGTAGTTAGGTTAGTGTTAAGAACATACACCAAATGAATTCCCAAATATTACAGATAACTGTCACCAACATTGAATTACAGAAAACCACAATATTTCATTGTCATTTTTTTTTTCACAATGATACTGATGTCATCAAAATAAAACTTCTCTAAATCTTCCAATGTAAAATTTAAGTCAAACTGTGCCTCTACTTCGGACTCCAATTTAACCATGGCGTGTGTAAATTATGAGCACTGACCACTCAAGCGAGTCTACTAACATTGATCATACTCGATTCTACTGGCAGCACATAGGCAATCGTTGCAACATTTTAACAAAATGTAACATTAAGGTACTTAAATATTATTTCACAAGTTTGATTGCTGTCAAAATGTCATTTGATTGGCTAATACAAATCTTTTCTCTTGCTGATTGGCCAAGTACTAAGTCGGTTAGATCACGCCCCTCGCCATAATTCTGTCACCTCGAAACCTATACAAGTTAGAACGTCACGAAGTAAACGGACAATTCGTGAAAGAAAAAAAAGTTGTTTGGGAAGTAGAAAAAGTTAGTTGAAGTGCATTGACACGTTGGATGGAAAGTCTAAAATAATTATAATTAGAGAATTTGTAAAAAAAAAAAAAGTTGATTGAAAAGTCATGAAAGTTAGAAACAAAAAATGGCTTCAAAATGAAAAAAGTTTGAACGTCGAAAAATGAATGGAAAGCTGTGATAGTTTGTAGAAGTTGTTTTGCATTGGATTGTGGGAAAATTTCACACTTTCACACAAGCCCTTATCATTAGAACACTCATTATGTGTAAGTATCAGCATTTTGGGAAACTATTGTGGTAACATCTAGATGTATTACAACAAGGGGCCGTGTCAGTGAAATGAAAAATATGTCGTAAGGTGATCTGGACTTGAGATGTACTGTGTTTACCCTTGTGGTTGTGTTTTCTTAAGGTAGAAGCCTACTCACAATTTTTTGACAAAATTGGTCATAAATCGCATGACTATGTCTCATGATACAATGAAATAGCATTATTTTGTGTGTTACAGTTAAGTTTTTAGAGAAACGTGTTCTAATATTTCTTGAAAATCGCTATTTTTAGAACAATTCCATAGAACACCTTGTTAAAGAAAAATTGCATTTTTTGACACTTTTTAAAACCCAGATTTTTAAAAAAATTCAGAACAACAAAAAGTACTCCTTCATTAACAATATATGATTTTTTCAGCCTATGTCACCAGGCTAGATTTTGAGATATTGCATAATATCTCTGCCATAGGAACCTATGGTAAAAGCATTATGATAGTGCCAAAATGGCGACTTTCCACTAAAATAAAACCATCAATATCTCCAAAATAAGGCTGGTGACCCCCAACTTTTTTTAAGTCAATATGCCTATATTGCCTTGGAGTACAGTTTGTTGCAAAATGAATAAATTCTGGGTTTTTTAATTTATGAGTAGGCTTCTACCTTAAGGTAGCGAGACTATTATTTGTGTTGAAAATTATGATTTTCACATTTATTTATTAATTGATGAATTGCACTATAAACTTTCATGTGATAAAGTCAACATAACATAGAATGCCATGTAAGTTGGTTAAAATGTAGATTTTCTGAAGGGAAGCAAGGCAGCTTCAGTAGTGTTTTCCAAAATCAACAACACAGGTTTAATCTGTGTGCCTATAAGTTTCAAAGATAAACTCAAGACAAAGCAATGTTAGTATGTGTTATCAGTAGCTATCTGACACACAATGAGTGTTCCAAACATTTGGGTGGTTTGTCTCCGCCCCTGTTTGTTTCACAGATTAGTCATTTGCATATGAATGGTCAGACACAAGGTCACACAGCCACTAAAAAAAATCATTGATTTTGGTGTTTTCATATGCCGAATTTATCCAATTATAGCTATCCCATTCCTTTATTTTTTGGTTTCCAATAGCCTTACACATTTGGATGTCCCTACACATGTTAAAGCAGACCTTGATGGGAAAACAAATTGATTGTGCCGATAAACAAGCTTGAAAATCTTTGCTGTTACTTCATGGACGTTTTCTAGGAGTTTATGTTTTTCAAAATACAAATGTACAAGGTCTTTAACAAAAAATAACGTATACTTATTGTCGTCGGATTAACACCAAATTTTCACAGCTTAAGGTGACAATGAGAGGAACTTGAATGTGTCCAGACAAACTATTTCATCGATTATTTACCAACGAGTTGTGGTTTGAGTTGGGGGCAATGCGACTAAAACAGTAATTGAAATTCAGCACACTATTTTTTAAAACGCGTTGCTTGCATAAAACTGACCAGACACATTCAATTTACCAGACTATTGAACAACTAGGAAAAGTGAAAAAAAAATTTCTTATCGCCAGCATAAATGCGTAATTTATTTTTTTACAGAAAAAGTAATTTTTCACCTTTGATTAAGTAACGGGTCATAGAATGCAGATATGGGCATGGCAAACACACCTTTGTAAAGCTTGAAGTCTGGCGATTCTAAAAAAATATACTTTCCTGGGTCTATTTGTAGTCATTTGGTCACAATTAGAAGATAAACACAAGTATGCAATAATAGTCCCGCTACCTTAACTGTGACGAGACATTGTTTCTTATGCGTGTTCTGGAATAGAGCGATTCTCGCAGTGCAGGGCTGTGTAGTTGGTCATTTGATAGTCGTCGGCGGATTCATGTTTTAGTTTCCCATCTCATGACATTTAACAGTATGTGTGATAGGTTATAGGGAGAGATATTTACGAACTTTAAAAAATTGAAGGAGTCGTCGAACAAACATAATAAAAAAAAAAAACATTGTCGCCCTCTAGGACAAAATGGAGTTGGCATCGATCTAAGTGATTTTGACAATGAATCGTTCAACTATAACAAGTACTGCAAGGTTGTATCGTTAGATAACTATTGCGCACTTTGGGGGATTTGAATTAAACCGTCCCAAATATTGTTTCCAAAATTTGTCATTAGTGTCACCATAGTTACTATTGTGACGTCATTGTGTAATTGTACGTCGTGTGCTGTATTTACTGTTCAGACGAGGTCGTCGTCACGTCGTTGGGTGTGATAAAAAATAAATAAAAAGTTGAATTGTTGAACAAGTGCTTCATGAGTCCCTGCTACGTATAGTTATTTTGGACAAGGATACGACGCGCTCGTCAAATAATACCCCTTCAAAAGTGTCTGTAAGAGATAATACAATCACTCGTATTCATCGATAGTATTGAGTAGCCGCTCTGTGCACTAAACTGGGGATTGAGTGAAGCTACGTACACTGCCACGCACATAGCATACGTCACATCTAATGGGAGTATTGTTCTTGCACACGGCTTCACTTTGAGTGTCGTTTTATTTTATGACCCACAAGTGAGAGTACGCCTTATCCACCACGGTCATAAAGTGGTAACTGGTCTGTTTGTTGCCATGTGAGTTTTTGCAGTCTGTGCAATTATACGTTGTTGTTTCTAATCGCATTACACTTCTCCAAGGATAGAGTTGATAATGTGAACTGTGTTTTCTGAAAGATGGTCTTCTCAATTTTTTTGAGGTGAGGATTTTTGTAAATATTCCAACGTATTAATTAGTGTTTTTACTAGTTTGTCTATTGCCTAGATAAATAACACGGCAGTTACTTTGCATCATTCAAGACTTAGCGGCGTATACAACATCGTGACAGTGCGACAACATAATGCCACCTCTTTTTCGGGACCAAAAGCGTGCTATAGAATTGACACAGCCCTCCATATCATCATGTTGATACAACGGTCTGTGTGAGCAAAGATATGTTCTGCTTCAATGATGTTGTCGGGTTGACCCGATCTGTGTATCAACCTTCGCCGAGGTAAATATTTTGTATAATATTTTATCCGGTACTCTGATTGCACCATAGACCTTTTCTAAGGTATATGATTGCATTTACTGCCAGTGTGCCAATTATACTGAGCAAACCTTGTCCTGACAAAAACAAATGTTATTACAAGCTGCCATCCGTGATCGATAACTCGGGATTTGTTGAAAAAGAAAATATAGCAAATTAAAATCCCTTGTTAATTCTTGTATACATGTTGCTATAAATCATACGGAGACGTTACCATACACAAAATGGCAAAGCAATAATTGGATTTTAATCTCAGTGTCACAAAAAAACGCTATGACAAGACTGATAATTGATGTGTTCAAACTGTGACGGCAGTTAATCCATACGACACCAACAGCCGCCGATCGAAATCTCAATACTTATCGTTTATCCAATTATTGGGTGAGAGTGATAGCAATACAACCACAAATGTTCTTTAAAATGTCATCGATGTTGTTTCGTTTAATTGAGACTTACATTTGGAGTTTCAGTACCAATAA